AAAAGCCTCACATGGAATTCTGTTAGGCTGTCTAATCACAGGATATTTAAAACCCTCACCTTCATGATCAATAACTGAAGCATTTGAATAGTTCACACATTGATATGAAATTGTTTATGGTTGTATGAAGTTAAGAAGAACGCAAAAATCCTGTGCACTGTGACATATATCAATTAATTAGCGTTGTATTACAATGGTTGCTTAAAGAAAAGAAGAACCAGTAAGATAAAATGACACCATTTTGACTTCTTTCAACAAAGTTCATCAGAGGAAATTGCACAAAATCTCTGAGTGTCATTTGGAGTCATATACTGAGGTGTAGGCTTCAAGGTTAGGGTCCTCGAGACTCCGACAACAGTTGACTAATGAGAGCGACAATGAAAAATAGGGTTTTTCGCTATTCTCCATTTAACAAATCTATCAAATTTCACCAACATTTATAAGCTACTTGTAAGTAGAAGGACAGTGCTAGTGAAAATATCAAGTGTCATTTACAAACGATACGCTGGATTAAAATAGTCTAGAAAACAAGTAAAGTCAAATGAATAAATGACCTAAGCTAACTTCCAACTTCAAAGAAGCTGTATTATTTGAAAACCTCATGTTTACTTCCCAACGCTTACTCTGGATAAGCTAAAACTCGTAATCCAGTGATTCATCACAACAACTAGTTCTGTCGAAGGTGCAGACAGGGTTTCAACATTTTCGTACCGGACGAAACCGAAGAGAGTCTAAATTCTGCCTGAAACCTATTTCATTCCGTCTCGAAGTGCAATTACACCCCTTAGCATATTTTCACACAGAAATCAGCAATAACTGTATTAATAACGTAATAAGCAAAATACTATGAACTGCGTAACCCTTCAGAAATAATACAGAAAACAATTCGGAATCATTCTAAATATCAATCTACTTATATAAAGTATTTTCACAAAACAGTAGACTGACATTCACGAAAAAATCTAAATTCCATACTTACATGTCTAAACCTAATTTACTTTTACTGCCGCACTTATTATAGAGCATTAAGTATTCAGTGGATAACGTGTCAAACATTATTATGAAGATTTCTTTTATACGTTCAAAATATTTTCAAGAAAAACAGGTCAAATAAGAGGGACAACAGAATAAAGTAGGCAAGCATGATCATCAAAATGATTTAGGATATAGTTTGCTCCATATAACTTTGATATTAGAAGTAAGAATGAAAAATAAACGGATTCCAAAATATTTCAAGAAAAACGGAAAATTAGTAGTTTTTAGCCACTATATCTTGAACCTAATCAAGCGATCATACAGGATCCACAATTTCAAATGCAGCATAAGTGCTCCTCATTAGAGATACAATATTCAGTAGACTTTTGTCAATTAATATATTATTAAACTGCACAACCACATATATAGTCTTTTATCAAAGGCTGCTTTCGCTGGCTCTATACAGAAGATCAGACGTCCAGAAAGAATTGGCAACGAGGAAATCTGCCAATCAAACAACCAAGAATCGATCGCCAAGCAAGCATACGAAAGAAATTGGGGACGGATTAGACACACTCTGAGGAAACCGTTCAGTGACATCGCGCGCCAGGCTATCGAGTGGAACCCAAATGAGAAATGATGTCCGAGGTTGACACTGAGGAGATCACAAGAGGAGGAGATGAGAGTCTATGAGCAACTGCGAAGCCAGCTGGAGAGGACTGCAGAAAACAGGGTGAAATGTTTATGTCCTGCTGAAGCCCTTTGTCCCGCTCGGAACTGAGGGGAATAATAGTATAAATAGTATACCGTCTGAGTACACGTATAGCGAATGTCTCAGACTTTTTTCCAAGTTGAAACGAAGACAATACCGCAGCTTAGTTTGGATCCTATAGGCAACCTTGAAATCCTTGTAGAGATTAGCGGAGTGACAGAAGTTGGTCAAATATTATAGAAATCATCTCACATCCTTGTAAAACCACGCTGGAATGCGCTGTTGGAACTATATAGAAAACATTCTGTGGGTACGACCTGTGTACTTTCCCCACATAAGCAGGTGCACTGATAGATGTGAATAGAGGCGACCAGACATGAGAGTTTATCTTTCTTGGATTCAAAGCTAACTTCAAGTAACGCAGACAGTACTGACAAACAGTTCACACCTACCAGACGCCATGGAAACTGTGAGTCTAGGAGATCGTCACGATAAAATTCGCATTCTACCCGAGTACTCTGCAACTTTTTAATGACTGTCGGCTTCTCCCCTGAAATAGCGAGAACAACCTTCGTAAAGCTATCACGCATAAGAACAGTGCCCATGTCACGACAAAGAAACCTGAAGGTCAAGACGTGAGTGTAAGAAGGAATTTGCAGCTGTTCCCGACAACAGTCGAAAGCTGTTCCAGCTCATCTGGACCACAGGCAGCAAGCAGGATTTCAGCGAAACAGTCTATGAGACAGGCCGCACTCGGATAGCAACATTGGTAATCACTACTGGATCACCGCACCAGCATCCGACAACCAAAAGTACACTGCACCATGTTAGGCTGATACCTGCAACCCGGGGAAGCGGAGTTTCCTAAGGGAAATTCAAGTACCCAAACGCAATAGGCAACCGCCACAAGTTTCTTCCGATCCCTGTACTGCTCAGCTAGTCCGATAAACCACCTCTTTCTCCTACACGTTGACTCTCAACTTCCTCACGACTGCTAAGTCATGGAGCAATTTTGTTTGATGGAATACACTGATTAGCGCTCTTTACTGATAAAGTTTCCAGCACAGTCTCTACTTGATGATATTAGATGGTTGGAGGCAATCGGCAGGAAGCCTTTGACCTAGGTTTCGTGCTAGCTGACTGGTAGAATTCAATCTGCACCAAACAAAGGACTAGCTAAACACATCACGATAGTTACTAGTGTCCAGTCTCTAGTTGCCACCTAATTATAACCTTGATGAGATTAGCAGCAACAAATGCCTGAGAGTTCGCAAGTATGTAGTACCATAAGGATCTCTTACTTTAAAAAATTTATTCCATATTTGAATTACATTGCGCAACAGAAAACAAATAAGTATAAAATCCTCGTTTCAGCTCTAACATTCTTGTGCACCTTAGTGCTGGTTCCATAACCGTAGGAAAAACATTTGTGATACCCAGAAATTGAAGGACACAAACGAATACAAGACAAATACATTTCTTATACCTACCTCTGAGTTGGATTAAATTCCTACACAGCTACTCCTGCAGCACGCGATAGCTACTTTTAAAAATAGCGAAGTAGTACTAATATGAATTAACTCTCATGGTTATTACTTCGTCATAATGTGTCACTAAATACTAAAATAGTGCATGAATTCTTTATTTTACTGGGACTTGGCACGTTCAATTTATTAAGATTTTATTGGGTCGACATCATATCCGCCATGGACTACTTAATTACAAGTGCGTGGTTGATTTTCGCTATGTGAAGCATATCTAGGAAACTAAGTGGAAGCAGCCACATTTCCCCAGTCGCTTCAGGTCTCTTCTACTGAACTAACTTCGTCCTACCATGGTGTTTTCTTCACACGTGTACTCAGAGTTCTCGATGAAGAAGCCAAGGATGGTATAGGCTCATGACCTGTAGGGTTCGAGAGTAGGTGAACTCCAGTCTCACTCCCGAAATTTTCTCAGGGTTCTAAGCATTCATCGCCTCCACCAAGTGAGTACTACTAACTATTTTAAAGCGGCAGGGGTGATCTCACAAAAGTAAAAAAGTGAGTGTGAATGTCCGGAGCTTATCATCGGACATGGAGCTCCATCTTAGGTGGGGGGGGGCTGGAACACCTCCATTCCACAGGATTGAATGACGTACTAACCCAATTTGACCATCACCAACCATAGGGAGGTCCGTCAATCTGTGGGTCCAACTCCACATAAAGCCTTGAAGAGTATTACCTTGAGATAACCACCTCCTTGGGCCTAGGGGTCCGGCAAGTAACTCCACCCTAACGAATGGAAAATACTACCGGCATGCAGACTCTCTTAAATGGCATCTGACTCAGAGTTTCTACATAGAACTTTGCATAAATGTGCAGGTCAAAATACTGACATGGCTTTTGAAAGAGCGGGAGGGGTAAGTGTCGGGACTCACATCTCACGATTGTTTAGCTTTGTTCCATGTTAGCATCATAAAGGTTATAACAATAGCACAAAGCGGTTTGAAGTTGGCTTGATCTGGGTCCTAGGCTCTGTACAATAGATGCAGACAGGCTACATGAGACTTCATGATGGAAATCCAGGATGCATTCTCTACATAGTGGTATATAACTTCTCGCAAAGTTTAGCTGGGCGCGCTACTGCATCGAATCTCGCAGACCCATCTGTATCGGGTGAAGACGCGTCGTTGTGTGCATCAGTGTCAGTTGCTACTGTCGTTGAAGTACAACTGTTATGATTGGTCAAGTCTAAGTTTTCTTTGGTTGACTCACATAACTCTAATATGTGTGTTGAGGGACAGTGCTATGACTTCTATTACAGCCTAAACTAGCAGTAGTTAGTGTTGAAATTGAACATCAATTCTTCAATTATGTTTATTCGTAGTTTGTTTGGTAATTATTCGAAAACATTGTGGTTTATCCACTGAATGTACACTGGCTATTCAGTTTTTGGATGTCTGTACATAAAATGCCAATCCCCTGCAACATCGAATCTTTCTCTGATATATTTGAAATATTGTTTCACCATGTTTCAAACATATGTTTTCACCACAAAATCTACTTTCGAAAGCGTTACTTTGGATTGGTAAATGAATATTTGAAGGCATTTTGAAATTATATATAGGAATGGACCTCGAATGTGGGATGTTAATAATTTTCATTGTTATTCCAGCACTGTCGATGACGGGTACTAGGGATTCATATTTATCCCTTTGAATATTTATCGTATATTGCTATGACAATTAAAACAAATTGTGTGGAATGCAATTTTTTAGAAGTTAAATATAGCAGGCGTATTAGTGTGATGGTAATCTGAGTAGTTTTAGTGAGCTAAAGACCTTTTCAGTTTCAAGGACTTTTCAAGGTCTAAGCAGGTATGCTTTACATCTGTTGAAACTTATTTGTTCTGGTAGTGTTTCGTTTACGTAGATAATTCGTATCATTGGGTATTGAGTTTATGTTTGATAATGGCGTCATTTCTTCAGAGGCAGTAGTTCGAATTCTTTTCTGTATATACGTTTCTCATCAAGAAACATATATATTAATGTAGACCATTGGATGTTTGTAAATACCCAATGAACTGAATAAATTCTGGTTTCCTTTTGTGGATATCTGTCGAGGTTTCCAATATTATGACGCATATATGAGTCTAGTTTCTCTGTACGAATAATTAGCATCCATGGATGCACATGGGCAAACGGGGAAAAAGTGGGCAAAGTGGGTAAAATCGGTTGCATTTACACCATCTTTTGTCCACCTTTTTGCCGATCAATGTTACCCATTTATCCCATGTTTTGCCCACATCGCTTTTCTCAAGATGGGGTTAAATAACTCATGGGACGCAAATGTAATACATGATATTAATATCATCCTTTTTTTGAACCGATATAAGGTGACACGTACTGTTTATTAGGTGTGAAGCCAACGAGTTTGTCTCTCACTGTTGTGGATTATCGGTGGAAAATGTACCCCTCCAAAAGTGATTTAATCAGGCAAGTCAGGCCTAATAAGTAGAGATCATTTCGGTATCTCAAGAAATAACTTGTAACGTTGTCTTAGTGAACATCTTACAAATGCAGCAGATCTGCTGCATTTGCAGTATTGGGATGACACTAATAGTCATTACATATCCTAAGCTTGTTCTCACTGCTGTGCTTATAGGTGTATATCGATCTGAGTGAAACATAATTAGCTTAGTTTCTTATTCTTGTTGAATGGTGTCAGAGAAGTTCATTCAATTACCATTCTCAAGGAACTTTGACAAATTCTGTTCAGTCTATCTCACTGCAAGCTCCCTGTGTGAGAATTCTTCCTGTTAATTAATATATGGAGTCGTATCGAGGCGTAAATATGCAAACTGTCGCATTGAGTCAAGCTATATTGATCTACTATGCAATTCACTTGAACTTTACTTAAGTTTTCCAGCTGACCCATGTGATTCAGGGAAACGCATTTGTTATTTTCACGTCTTCTATTTGTTTTGTTGTGATTTATTGATAAATGCTGGTCTCAAATATATACTCTTCATTGAAATATAAGCCTATTTGCTCGAAGGTATATAGAACAAGTTTTTAGATTCCTATAGTCTTTCACTATCTGCTCAGGCGTTTTGCACTCAATGCGTACTTCTAGTTCAAAACCAGGACTTGATGACCCTATTTGTATTCACTATCATGATTTTGAGCTACTAATGCCCAACAGTTTTGAGTAGTCAAGTCATTTAAATATATTGTTCAATCACTTACATAAGTTTGATGAACTTGGGGACTGTTATGAAGTATTATTTCCATCATTATTTGAAATTACATAAACGAATTTGAAAACTCGTGAGTGTTATAATAAGACTATGGGCAATAAATTGTCATTAGTAAATAATTCTGTATCACTGTAATTTTATCAAATAAATCTATATTATGATAAAGATTTGATGCTTATCAACAATTGCCCATTGCTAATTTCTCCACCTCGTGCTCTGTTATGCTTTTACGGTCTACGCAGTGTGAATTTTATTTATTACTGATATTTTCGCCACAAAAACTGTGGACATAATTGTATCAACAATGTTATTTCTTATGAAATTTTAGTGTATGTGGGTTCACATGGTCCTACTGGATTTTCCACGGATATTTGTTAAATATGGAATGCGAGAAATTGCTGGAAGGAACTGTTATTTCTGAGCAGCTTATTCAAACATCAAAATTGCTGCAATCTTTTCGTGACAAGTCACTTTTTACAGATGTCATCTTGTGCGCCGGTGAAGAAGAACTTCCGTGTCACAAAGCAGTACTAGCTGCTAGTTCAGCATACTTCTTGGTAGGTTTTGCTAAAATCGAAACCTTTGCTCTATTTCAATACGCTATTTTAAATGTGTCGTCAAGTTACCTTATATTGGATCAGAAAAAACAAACTGGTCTTAACATTTTGTCTGTCACTGTTTCGTGGGATTCTATTGCTATCCATAACATAAAATAAAATTCACGAAGCTTCCCTGTAACTCGAATAGTCAGAAGCATAAGTTTAAACTAATTTTCATCCTTTTATTTTGAACTTTACTGTTTGTAATGTTGAATATCGCTTTCTATAAAGTAGATTGTATAACATATCCAAGTAAAGTTTTTTGTTTAGTTTACATGGTGATTGGGAGTAAACAACTGCTATGTGACCTAGGCTACTACACCAACCAGATGGTGTTGGTCAAACAAATATAAACTACTTAGCATCTTGAATAAGAATTGTTCATTTGCATGTAGGTATTTAGAAAGATGGGTCGAGAAAAGGAATGCTTCCTTCAGTTAGTTTTTGTTCAAAGACCTTTTGTGCAATTTTCGAAAATTATACAAAAATATCTATTTGTTGAAATTAGGCTGTTTAAAAGTTATTACGAATTCAGTATTATTAGTGAAATTAATCATTACAGAATAGAATACACTGCTAGAAAATAAAGATATATCTACTGATTAAATAAAAAATATAGATTAGGACCGCTTTGAATTATTACATGTACTGTCATTAGTTTCCTATCTCTGTCTACTTCATATAGCCAGGCAGGATCATTATTTGTCATTCTAAAAATCCCATGCAAATCACATTTTACAAAATTTATGTTGAATTTACGATATCCGTGGTTTGAAATTTTGTGTGATTTTATCTTGATGTATTCATCTAAAGAGCATACCTTGTCTAAATAAACACTTTTTATTTATTTTTCAGGCAATGTTTTCATCTCCTTATAAGGAGCAACAAACATCCCGAGTTACCCTAGATTATATATCACCTTGGGCACTTCGCCGACTCCTTGACTTTGTTTACCTTGGAATTTTAGAAATAACTGAAGCTACAGTACAGGATGTATTTCTAGCTGCTAGCTTACTTGATTACCCGGTAGCTGTTAAAGCTTGTGTCGAGTTCATGAAAAGTCATTTGGATATAACAAATTGTTTAGGCATTGAAGCGCTAGCTGAAATGCATAATCTTACAGACTTAGCTCAATCATCGCATAAGTTAGCTGTGGAGAACTTCTCAAGGTAAAGTATGTTCCTTCTTTTCACCATTGATTAATTTTTTGACTGTCAGTTGCAAACACTTTCGAAATCCGGCTCATTCTGTATTATGTTGTTGATTTATTAGTTGTAAAAAATGTAATGGGTAGTGACTGAAAAGCAAGTAAAATCTCAGCTCATGAGCCAAATTTCCTTCGGTGGTTTGTGTCATACTTTCTCAAACAAGAGAATGAGGTGACAGAAAAGTTAACATAAAACCTCGTTTAAACGTTTATCATTTTAAGTTACCAAGGAATTGACTAACCGAACATTGGTGGTGATAGCCTAACATGTCGACTAGCTTTTATACATTGTATAAATAACAAGATTCTTAATAATAATAATCTTTTTTCCAGAAACAGTACTAGTGGTACAGTGTGGAATTTTCAGCACATATATATAATATTTGCATCTAATTTTATCAAACATTTAAAAGGAGTATTTCAAAAAAAAATAAATATAAAGACACCAACAGATCTGAATTTCGTGGGCGATATATGTCTAATGTCACAAACTTGGGGACCTACAGACGAAAACTGACAAGCTGGCAGAAGAAGTGGCCAGCAAAGACAGGACTTCAAATGAACATGGAGAAGACGGAAGTGATGAAAATAACCAACCAACAACAACAAGCACCAATCACTATCAACGGAATAAATTAGACAGAGGTCACTTCCTTCACCTATCTAGGAAGCATCTTTTCAACTACAGACATCGAATGGACAAATATGTCAAAACTAGAATCGGAAAGGCAAGGGAGACATCAGTGTGGAAATCTAAACAGCAAATTTCGGATTTTCAACACCAATTTTAAGTCAGTCAGTTCTTTTATACGGGTCTGAGAATTAGCGCGTCACAAAAGGCATTTCCAACAGCCTGTTGCAGGATTTCACCAACAGCTACCTTCACTCTATGTTGAGGATCAAATCGCCAGAAAGAATTAGCAACAAGGAACCCTGGGAACGAACGAACCAAGAACCTATTTCTCAACAAATATTTGGAGGAAAATAGAGATGGTTCGGACACACGCTGACGAGACCATCAAATGACATCGCGCTCGAGTGGAACTCGAATGGGAAACGACCAGTTGGATGTTGATCTGAGGGTGACCTGGGAAAAATCGTACGAGGAGGAAATAAGAGAATACGTCCAATCGTCGGGTCAACTAAAGACGACCGCAGAAAATAAGACATAGTGCAGATGTACTGTTGAAGCCATGTGTTCCACTCGGAACCCAAAGGAACAATAATAATAAGTTAAACCTCAAAATTACTGACAATATTTTATCTTGTCACCCAAAGTGAGCAAGTGCTTGAATTTCATATGGCCAAAAATGTTTTCTTCACTTTTAGTGAGTCCTAGCCAAACAGCAGGATATAACGAATTGCTTGTTGTACACCACATGTCTTTTGGTAAATGTTTTTGTATCTTGAATTTGGAAGTTGGTACAAAGTAGTCTCTCCTCATCGCTGTTCCAGATTGATGTTATGCACTAATGTAACTACTGTTAAGGGCTCATTTTTTATCAGCTAGCTTTACTTCATTTGGATGGTAGCCAATGGTTGTGTAAATGCAGTCTTTCGGAATCTATTGGTAACTGTCACAATCTCTTCTTGCTACTTCATACTTATTCGACCGGACGCTACATAGGTCACTGTCCAGTACGATACACTCGAGTCGTGAGCCTTCTGCTTGGGAGCCAATTGCTATTCTTGCACAAGCAAGTCATCGGAAGCTAATCCTAGAATATTCTGACAACAACCACGGATCCTTAAATTTAGGCAAGTGGGATTTAGTGAATAACGACACTTGGGTGTTTTGTATGTATCTGATTGTTATGAAATATCACATTGTCCAATTTGACGAGAGTGTCTGACATAAAACAAAGTCGTAATGCGAACTGGTGTGAAGAAGTATAGTTTTACAGGAGTATGGTTAATGATTTACTGCTACATTGTTTGTAATGGATACAGAGTCAAGAAGAGATTAAATAACATTATTCATGGAATGTGGTAGTGAAGTTCGTGAAATTGAATTATGTATGTGGGGAATAAAGTTGTTTAGTGTGGTAATGAAAATATCTGAGTAGTTGATAATAGCTAGTTGCTTTTGCTGTTTGAATTAGAATATTTTTAGAGTATTTGAAATAGGATATGAGTTGACTTAATGTACCTGTACAACCCATACAACCCATGGTAGATGCTGAGATGATATATGTTCAGACTCCCTTAGAGACTCGTGAAAATTGCATCAGAATATATGTGGTTTACTGAAACCAAAGGGGATATAATTCTATACTACCTTGCTTTTTCCCACGTATTTATTAGCAAAATTATGGGAAATTTCTAGGGGTATGCTAACCACTTAAAGAAAATCTAATAAGAGACAAGAAAATTTCTTAAATCAGACACGTTTAAGATAGGGAATTACGTAAAAATAAATCCGTTTACTCATAATGGCACTGCACTTTCTAGAATTTAGTGATCAAATCAATTGACTCCTCGTATGTCTTCCTTTTTTACTGTTCGTTGTGAACCCTTATCGAAATGTTGCTGGAATACTAGTTATTAGAACTATGTTAACTGCTTAGATGGAATTTTGACCATCTATTCTTACAATTTATGATACGTTGTCTAGATATTTGCTGTTACTGTGTTATTATCGTTTCTACAACTCATGATTACATATAAAGAATACAAATTAATGGAAAAAGATGAAGTTAAACTTTATTAAAAGAAGTATATGTTCATTTGTAATACCTAAAATACATTTCATTTTGAGCCCTTGTTTATTTCATTAGACAGAGTTATTTTTTCCAATCATTTCCCCCACAAATATAGTTTTTTCATGCATTCATAAACTATAACACATAGTTGTCATAACTCACATTGTAAACATTACCAGTTATAGTGAATTCATTCTCTTTTATGCACAATTTTGTAATATTGTGATCTTATATTTATCTAAGGTATTTATCATCTTTTTGCATATAAATGACATTATTTTTAAGATGGAAAATTAAACATTTACATGTGTATTTACGTATAGGTCACAGTCAGTCTAACATTTGAATATAGTTTTCTTACACACTAAGTAAATATACTGATTTGCTATACTTTTATGAATCATGTGACTAATGAATCGAAAGGTGGAACTGTTTTTGTTTCCTCGAAATCATGTTTTAAGGATACCATCATAAAAATGTACACTAAATTTACCTTTGTTGGTCTCAATATTTCATGAAACCACCACCTAAAAAGTGTAGATATGAGACGTCGAGTCTTATGACATTTCACCAAGCTGTGTTAGATTACGAAACTCCAGACATGTTGCTAGATTGTGTCACCGGTTCCTATCGACCTCCTCCTTCAAAAAGTCCCGTCAGCGGAAATAGCACTGGCCTGGCAGACAACTAAAAGAGGTCAGAACTAAGTACTGTACCAATAAGACTAGATAATTATTGATGCATGCTGAGCAACGCAGATTACCTATCAGAGAGATACGTGACCAACCTTCGGGATTTATGGTTAGAAACTGAGTGACCGGTAGCTCTATCCTTTTTTCCTTTATCTTAAGCATTCCACGCCATTTGATTGCTTGATTTTAACCTGTTTGCTTATTTTTTAATTGCGTTTATAATTCCAATTAAGTGTTTTTTTTTTTTTTTATTTCCTTCACGTTCCCCAGTGGAACATAGGGCTTCAAGCTAGCGGCTTGAAGTTTCTGTAGCAGTGCTTATTTTACAGGATGGGGTTGCTAGCCTCATGCCCAACCTTTCCTCTTCACCAGCATTATTTCTGGCTTAGCGAGGTAAAGGAGTGCGTCGGCCGGGGATCGAACCCCGGACCATGTGTAGAAACTGAGTGACCGGTAGCTCTATCCTTTTTTCCTTTATCTGAAGCATTCCACGCCATTTGATTGCTTGATTTTAACCTGTTTGCTTATTTTTTAATTGCGTTTATAATTCCAATTTAAGTGTAAGATTTGAAAACTTGGACACCTGCAGTATTGTTGCTCTGCATGCTGATTATATCTGTCTTTCAGGTCATAAGTGTTCCCTGCTTCAGCCTGCGATAAGTTAAATCGGAAGTATTAGGAAGATTCATGTATTAGAGAGAAATTTGTTTCCGCCTCTCGATGGTATTCCGCTAACTTAGAATTCACATAATTTGGTTTTCTGTAATCAAATTAACCTATGTACTATTGTTTTAAGTATCTACATTCATTCACTTCACCATGACCACCAGTCTCGTTAGGCTCTTTTTAACCTCAGCTTACGTACATATAGTTGATCCTATTGTATAGCCACTCATATATTCATTTATTAACTCAATCTTCCGTGGAAAATATTCATTCCGCAATGCTAATATGTCGCCAAGTTTCCAAGATCACTTCTCCCTCTTCAATGTAATATTGGGATAAAACTACCATAGACACTGAAAAAGTAATCGTTTCTATATATATATATATATCCCAGGTAAAAAATTTGACACGGTCAGGGCGTAAACAGCACTATTACAAAAGAAATAATACGACATAAAATGAACATGGTAGAAGAAAACAAAAATATGCGAATTCGTATTCCTGAGAAAATTCGAGAAAATCAGCTAAATTTTGCATAGGGAAAGTTCATATTTGTTGGGATCTCCATCTTTTTATAATAATACAGCAGTGTAAGACTTTAATTAAATTCAAATAAATATTCATGATCTGCTTTTTATCTATACAGCTTACTACTGGAGTCGAGTGAATGGGTCACCCTACCTATTTCAACTGTGATTTCATATATTTCTTCAGATGAATTAGATGTACCTTCTGAACAAGTAAGTTGTGTACTGCCGCTTTTTATTGAATGAACTCACTATATGAATATGTTATTGAAACTTACATTTTGTGTATTTTGCAATTTAAGAAGTATCGACTGTGGTGTGTGTATACTGTGGAAGATAAGGAAGAACATTTAGTGTGGTCACAACTTACCTGCCTAAAGACTCAAAAGTATCGTATTCGCTTTTAAAATTATCAGGAATGATGATGAACTTCTGATTATTTAGAGAATGACTATCCCTTTGTTCTGTCATATTTTATTCTTAAGGGTAATTTATATTCTTAAAAGCATGCTTGATAATCTGAAGAGGCAACTGATGAAGTGAACATACACTTAAAATTTATATGTCACATATTTTCATTGTACTGCAATTCATGACGCTGTGTAGAATTTCGATAAGTGAGAGTTTTCTTTTTTGTCCCTATCTGTATTTACAGTTTGTTTGGGATGCTTGTATTAGTTGGGTTGATCAAGCATCTGAGACGCGGATTGCTTACTTACCTCAACTGCTGTCACACATTCGTTTGAAGTATTTGGAAAAAGAAATGCTGGAGGTTCAATTACAAAAAAACCCTTTGATTTTGGTAAGAATACTTGAGATATATGTATGCTGTGAATTACGCCTTAGTGGTATTTTGCATTTTCACTATTTCATTTAAACGCGGAATTCTTGCAATACAGACACCCTGAGCAGTACCACAAAAAGATGATTAGGTATATAAGGAAAATAGAATGGAATAGTTCATCACTTCATGTTGCTTTCAGAAAGAGATAGGAAGTGATGAAATCGCAACATGTTCGCCATTGATTACAATTCGCAGCGATATCTGATAACATTTAAAGCGACGAATTCCGATGATTTCCTGGAACCACTCAGGGTGATGTGATTTACCGATAGATGGTAACCGAACACAGCTACCTTCCATCCCATGGCACTATGTCATAGGTTGATAACCCTCCCTCTTTTTTCATCCATTCCCACTGCTTGCGAACAAAGCTTGTAAGGTAACTTTTGTAGTACACGTCCAAGCCACAGAAGCATATGTTCCCAGTTGATGACACCTACACAAATATGGTCTACACGGTGTCCAAACACCCGCTGCTGAACCTCAGAATTGCTTTGCTGACGTCATCGTTGAATGCAAACAATCCTACCAAGGCGAAGATGGTCAAATACTCAGAGACGTCACACATCTTCAGCTAGGAGTAGTCTATTTTCACAAGTGTAGAGTAAAACTGCGTGCATCGAAGCATTGTAAGCTCAACCATTGACAGTCAGACTGACGTCGCAACGACTCTGGAGATGACCCAGGTTGACATGTGCCTCCCTAACTTTCACTATGTAGACAGATATCTTATCCGTCACATACCATCCAGAACTGACCCAACTACTTAGAAACATGGGTTTATCGAGTGCTTTTAATGGTTCACCTGTGATGGTGATTAGAAGCATAGGGTTCCTCTCAATTTCTCAACAGTACTTTGCACTCAGACGGCACAAGGCAAATACTATATTTACAGGCACTAAATGACGATTGATTATGTGCGACTTGGACAGCTTGTGTGTTATGGCACAGTAAGACGATGTTGTTTGCATACTTGAGGTTGAAAGGTCCTCCCTGCAGGCAGCAGATCTACACTATCACCAGTACGCATATCCTTCAGAGCTCTTTCCAGAATGTCGCCGATGAAAAAGTTAAAGAGAAATGCAGCAACATCAGGAGCTACGTTCCCACGGTTCCAAGTTCTTGCACCATCTGGTCTTTGTGGATCCATGTGCACCACAAGTTTGGAGTCAGAGTTTTCCTCCTCCTCTAAGTGGCGGATCTGCGTGTGCACCATTCCGGTGGTAAGCCCTAAATATTCATTACAAAGAATCACATTGATATTTTGAAATAATTCCTTCGAGTCCGTTTCACAGTAACGTAATAAGTAAAACAAAGACAATAGCAGCTACTTCTCTTTTCTTTCGACACTCATCATTACTTATTTTGGGTGCATCTTGGAATGAAAGTAGCTAAAATTTACTGTAAGGTTTGCGATAAGAAGGTGGTGTGAAGGACTGCGATTTCGGTCAGTTTATGATGTAGGGAGATTGTGATCCAAGTTTACTAGTGCACTTTTTTCCATAATTAATCCTATTATCACCAGAGACTACAAACTTTCGCTAACGAATCACAAAATTTTGCCAAGTTAATTACGAGGAAGTACATATTTCAGTGTAGATTTTATCACGAATTAACATCAATTAGATAATCATTGAACACCAAGGAGCACTGAACATTTGTTTCGTCCTGGTTCTGAACTCTTTAACAACGCTTACCTTTAAATTCGTCAAGAATCGAACGTGACGAAATCTGCACCAAAATTAATCTAAATCCCTGTGAAACCCCAGGTAGGACATATGCAATTTGATAGCTGACCGAATATCTCACTGAGGCCAGAGATGGAATAGGCTTGTATATGGCTTGGTGAGCCTTCTATACACTAAGTGACATTACCATATCAACCAGTCGACTTGAACCCATGCCACTACCGAAATTAGTACAGCGGTTAAGGCATACTGTCCGTAAACTAGATATCATTTAACATTATCTCGTAGGTGTGGAGTGCTTAGTGTGTAATGTCACCGTCTCAACGCTAACAGAAATATACTGAGTGTGTGCTCTAGGGGAACCAACTATTCTCTGCAGCAATTCAGTTTCCACATGGCTGAAAATAAAACGGTGTCAACTCTATCAGCACTTCTGTAGCTAAATTAAATAAGAATGCTAGCACTTCGTCTCCGTAATGAACACAACTGGCTGGTGTCCGTCAACTCTTATGTATCTGTATTCGTTCGAATGGAGTGTTCTGATTGCTATAGAATACTTCCTTTGTGTTCTTTTCATAACCAATAAATAAATAATACATTTCGGTCAACAAAGTCTAAGGAAAATGCGATAAATGTTGCGTGCCACTTAGGACATGTGAAACGGTGAAAATTCGATCAACTCAACTCCTTCTGAGCGTAAAAGCTGCTTAGATTGACTCGAGCTACTTAATTCTGTGTTCTACTCAGTCATCAGATGACGATGATTCTTAAGATCCTATATAATATTTTAATCCAACTAAGCTCGTGTTTATTACTGGATATTTTTCTCCTTCGATGTAAACTAAGATGATCAGTAGTCTACATCAGTGCAGCAATGCTACTCTGGGTAACTACTACTCATTAGATTAACCATGTGTGCTACACTATCTCAGTAAACATCATAGATAAAGTTGTAGAGTTTTGTTTCTTGAGATGTCCAAATATCAATGAAACTCCAGTCAACTGCAACTAACCACAGCAAATCAACAATATCACATATATCAGACTGAGCTATAGACAGAGAAATTAGAAGGAAGAATTACACCTCTATAATATATGAGTAATTCTCTCTTTCTTTTATAAACTAGAACGATAAAACAACAGTCTACACCAGTTCAGTGGAACTATACCAGTCAATCATTACTGTCATTGTTCGACACTTTTGAAGAAAAATGTTAGGCCTTACATCTCCATTCCATTATGGGTAAATTTTTATTTTGATAGAGTCCCACAGTGTTATACAGTAATATTTACTGATGACGTTTCGAGCACAATTTATTGCTCATAATCATATCAAGGTAATCACACGACTTCCTAAATTCATTTATATAGTTCCATTGTTTTTCACTTGATTTCATTGGTAGTATTATTTTCCATATTTCAGGTATGAGTGATGATTCATTCCTATTGCATGTGTTGGGTGTAGACTCGATGAACAAAGATTCAGTAATCAACCTCTCTCTCCACCTACCTAGATTACTTTTTAGAATTTTAACCCTCTCCCACCCTATTGTGTGGTTGTGTGTTAATGCATGTATTGCAATTGCTGAGTTTTTTTCTAAATTACTTATCTTCTCTGGGTCAACCATTCTTACCTTAGCTAAATTCTTATGTTCTGACAATCTGACTACCCCTGACCTACTAGTTTGACCTATGTAGTTGACCTCACAGTCATTGCAGGGTATTTTGTAAATTATATTATTTTGTCTAATTGGGTCCACTGGGTCCTTTAACCTACAGAGCTTGTCCCTGAGTGAGTTTGTAGGTTTAAATGCCACCCTAATTCCTGCTTTATTTAGAATCCTACGTAGGGTCTCAGATGTCCCCTCTTTATATGGTATAACTGTAGATGACTTATATTCTCTCTTATTTATGTTATTATTACTAGTTTCACAATTATTTTTCTTTCTCTTTTGGCGTTTTTCAATCTTCCTAATGAATTTTAGAGGATAGTTATTTAAAACCAACGCCTCTTCTATCTGTTTTATTTCATCATTAAGGTCTTTTTTTTGTGCTACTTAGTGCCATTGCTCGGTTTGTTAAACACTTAACTAAGCCTGCCTTAACAGTTAAAGGATGAGATGAATTAAAGTCTAAATATCTATTAGAATGCGTTGGTTTTCTATAAACACTAGTGTGTAGTTTGCCTTCTTCTATTCGTTTTATTTTACAATCTAACATAGCTAATTCTCCTTGCTCATTTTCGGCTTCAAATGTGAATTTTATTCCCTCTACTAGTGAGTTTATGTGTGTCAGGAAGCTAGAGATATGTTCTGTTTTTAACACTGTGAGAGTGTCATCCACATATCTCCACCATATTTTTGGGGTAGGATTAAACGTATTAAGTGCCATATTTTCCCAGCTATCCATAAATATATCTGCTACGATAGGGGATATTGGTGATCTCATTGCTACACCTTCAGTTTGTCTATATATATAGTGGAGGGAATAAAATTCACATTTGAAACCGAAAATGAGCAAGGAGAATTAGCTATGTTAGATTGTAAAATAAAACGAATAGAAGAAGGCAAACTACACACTAGTGTTTATAGAAAACCAACGCATTCTAATAGATATTTAGACTTTAATTCATCTCATCCTTTAACTGTTAAGGCAGGCTTAGTTAAGTGTTTAACAAACCGAGCAATGGCACTAAGTAGCACAAAAAAAGACCTTACTGATGAAATAAAACAGATAGAAGAGGCGTTGGTTTTAAATAACTATCCTCTAAAATTCATTAGGAAGATTGAAAAACGCCAAAAGAGAAAGAAAAATAATTGTGAAACTAGTAATAATAACATAAATAAGAGAGAATATAAGTCATCTACAGTTATACCATATAAAGAGGGGACATCTGAGACCCTACGTAGGATTCTAAATAAAGCAGGAATTAGGGTGGCATTTAAACCTACAAACTCACTCAGGGACAAGCTCTGTAGGTTAAAGGACCCAGTGGACCCAATTAGACAAAATAATATAATTTACAAAATACCCTGCAATGACTGTGAGGTCAACTACATAGGTCAAACTAGTAGGTCAGGGGTAGTCAGATTGTCAGAACATAAGAATTTAGCTAAGGTAAGAATGGTTGACCCAGAGAAGATAAGTAATTTAGAAAAAAACTCAGCAATTGCAATGCATGCATTAACACACAACCACACAATAGGGTGGGAGAGGGTTAAAATTCTAAAAAGTAATCTAGGTAGGTGGAGAGAGAGGTTGATTACTGAATCTTTGTTCATCGAGTCTACACCCAACACATGCAATAGGAATGAATCATCACTCATACCTGAAATATGGAAAATAATACTACCAATGAAATCAAGTGAAAAACAATGGAACTATATAAATGAATTTAGGAAGTCGTGTGATTACCTTGATATGATTATGAGCAATAAATTGTGCTCGAAACGTCATCAGTAAATATTACTGTATAACACTGTGGGACTCTATCAAAATAAAAATTTACCCATAATGGAATTACATTCTACCACAGTGCCCAAGTTTTATTCTTACATCTCCATCTTGCAACATTGGCCAGAGTTGCTCCGATATTCATTTCGGAAATTGGTCGACTTGGTGGTCAGTTGCGTACGGCAACCGTAAAATTGTCGACCTACGCATCTTTCAACCACATCGCTCGAAAATTAAGTGACATTTGTTTTCGATAAAGAAAGGAAGACGAAATTCGCAGTATGAAATGATATCGTTCTATTTCACAAGTTCTCATCAGCTGCAGACTACGTGAAGTTGCAATGGTTATATAAATGATAATAACATACTTTAATGTTTGCGTAGTAGTAGAGAAGAGATAAAATTGACGCATCCAAAAAAGAATGAAAGCATTGCAATTTTTAGTTTAAGTTATCATCATCAATTTATACACTTTCAAAGTTGAAAAGAGGAGGGAGGGGGTAAGACAGAAAACAGAAAATTTGATTAACAGAAACAGTGTTAGCTTGTAGGTTCACATAGCAACTCCAAAAAACAAAGGCGGTTACAGTTTATGAGATTAAGATTAAGATTGCATAAGTGTATGCAATCAAACGATTTAAACCGGACTTATGCATACAGAGAGTATGATTAACCTCTCACTCCCTTGGTAACTGAATTTTGATTTTGATTACATCAATTAGTCATCTAATTCAGTGAGTGATCTCAACTCACTGAACCCAGTGGTGATATATTTAACAGTGTCTATTTCACCACAGATTTGCATATCATCTCCACAACAAAACGTCCACGACAATTCGTAGTGTCCTAATTCCGGTTGTCATACTTGGTAAAGTGAATAAACCTACTTTCCCTTTGTATGCATTTCTCAAGGTTACAAAATACTTGCAGGGTCCCGGTCGGATAGTAAAGTATTAGCGAGAATGAATCATGATGTTCAGTTTTGTGCGCGGTTACAACATGAAAAGCTGCTTTGTAAAAAGTGCTGCGCTATCAGACTATGAATGGTGGTTCTTTGGCATAAATTATTTGCGATTGACGTAAAGTCAGGAGAAAATGACGTGGCCATATATTAACAAGGGAGACTATTGAAAATTTTTTAGGGTTTGGTATCATCTTACGACTTTCGGAATGAGGGCACAGTATAATTGGTTTTCCCGGTTATCCGAAAAGCCTCACATGGTCAGTAGTGTAACTTTGTCTTGAAACAAATGTCAGCGTGTATATTTTATTGTAGGAGTAAGCACCTTTCATCGCGTTTATTCAGTCGTATGGATCATTATAAGGCCTCATAGGGAAAAGCAGTATGGCAATATACTTCATCAATCCTTTCCGATATGCATACAATAGTTGCCCAACAAGCAATTGCCACATTGTCACTACCAAAGGGGCATTTCCAGTATCTTTCCTTAAATTTGCTTGATAGTAACTGATTATAGTTAATTGAATGAATTTTATAAGACTAATTAGAGTTACCGGTTCACGGAAGTGAAATTGAGAAGTTGCCATCTAAATTCTTTTCCGCTTTTAAATAATTCTCATATGATTATCAACTACTTGCTTGCAAACTTTCGTGGTCATGTGGTTGTTTTTCTTCCATCAAACCAATCTATATGTTCATTCTATGTAATCGTAAACAGACTGTACTATTATTCATTAGCATTTCACACTTTTTCTGTCAAGTCTCTTGTTGTTCTATCATGACTGAATTTCATTTTCTCATCTACTCATAATCTTATTTTTGCGTTCTTTTGCACGAAGACAATTCAGGTTATTGAAATATAGTAATAAATTAAAAATCCATTTGTTTTACCGTCTTATTGACAAATGAAGTGTACTGACGCATTGTCTTTGTATGAGGTTGTAATATATGCGACTATAGTATATGCTCTGCAGATGCTAATTAATTGTCCTGACCACTGTATTTTGAGGAAAATACATATTGTATGAAAGTTGAGTGCTTAGATCAGTGTGACTTGTGGCCCGCGTATGATGATCATATACCACATACCTAGATGACTTCATAATTTCACTTTCTTCTACCTGACGATATATGTTCACCTGAAACCAATTTGTTTTTTTTTTTTTTTGAATAGTAAAGAAGCTGTTACTTCTATAGACATGATTTAAATGCCGGAAAATTAAATCATATGGGATATAGCTGTTTCCACTAGACACTTTATGACAGATTTTGATAAGTATCATGATTTAGTATGGTCTTTGTTTTAGCGCGGACAAATGTGAGCGACAGATACAGACTTATGCAGTTTTGTAGTATCACTGGTTTATTGTTTTATTCAAACGTCTACACATGATACACATTAAAGAGGAATGTAGAGTACTTCAGTTCCCTAGCTCCTAACATTTCCCTTAAGTGACTAGTAATTACCGTGTTCGTTTTATTCATTCACTGTTTTATTAATTGATTTAAATTCTAGTGGTTGGAGTTTTAACTGCAAAAATGTTTACATTATTTTAGGAATGCAAGAATGCTCAGAAGATTATCAAATATTTTCTTCATGGAGATGTCTGTAAAAATGATGATAATACTGGTGCATTTATCAACAATTTACCTCCTCGTCCTGCAACACTTAAGCGTCCTACACTGGTTGTTTTAGGTGGTTTAAATACATGCATTTTAAATTGTATGCAGTCATTCTCTCCGTCCAGAACAGCTTGGCAAACTTGTCCCCCTATGCCAGTAGATAGTCTCGCATGGTTTTCTGTTTCTGTCATTGCAAACACTCTGTTTGTAATTGGTGGAATTAAGGTAAGTTTGTTTTTTCTTCAAAGTGATGAATGCAAAAGATGTGTTTCTGACAGAAACCTCTTATCATTACTCAACTAAGTGGTCTTAAAGAGACAAGAGAACCTTCTCAATCAGATTTTCTTCTACTTCCTGTCATAAAAAATTATCTCAGTTATTGAGTTGAAGAGTGGTCTACTTCAAATTCGAACCTGAATAACTGGCAATCGGTTGGCATTTAGACTTGTATAAGGAGTGCAGCCGCATCGGGAGCTGTTCTACTCTTTCAAATTGCAAATTGATTTCTATTTGGAAATGTTGCTATTTGTTAGTGTATTTACTCGACTTTCCCTCATGCGGTTGTTGTTCAGCAACTTAAACACCAATTGCATCCTGTGCATTTCGGCTTCGATCACCCATCTGTTGGCCAAAACACAGATGTTGGTTAGAAATGTTTTTTTAACAGAAGTTGAATTGTGCTGTACTGTGCCGTTTGTACTCATGAAATGCTTATTCGAAGCTCATCCTAATCTTTTTGTAGCTATTGGGATATTCATTATTATAACTGTTGTTATTGTTACTACTATGTAAGAGTTGTCATTTTCTCAAATATTGAAGAAATGATCATTTCCCTTCTAAGGTGTTTCTATATGGAACTGCCACATAATGTCCCAGTTAAAAACTGCACTATCCACCATAGTGATTTAAAGAGAATGACTTATCGAAAAAATTTAAAAGCATTAGTTCCCTTTATGAATTTAGATAAAGTAATAAGAAAACATAATTTGTCTGAATCGCGTAATGTATTTGCGCAACACATTTTGAACAATCTGATCACATACATACTTGTCATAGGAATATATCTGAAATTAAAAGTCAATCTGAACGAAGAATATTCTTTCAATAATTTCTCTTCAGGTTCATAGAATTATAAAATATAATATTTGTTGTCGTTACAATAAAGGCCAGTTATGTGGCAGATACATTTTTAACGCAGAATAACAGATTAGTTATGGGATGTCAAAAATTGATAAAGAGTTAAAAGGTGAGAAAATAAATTTAGGTCAAGTTAAAAGGACATATCGAAGGTCAAAGTAAAAATGAAGATAATAGAGGTAATACTACACCTGCTCTGACTGGTATCAAAACAAATTTACAAGGAAGGTTTAGTGTGATGACATGTTGTTTTTGAACGCATAAAGGTGGTCTAAACTTCATCATTGCCAGCTGGGGCCTCCACAAACTTTAGGATACGCCCTCCCTCAAACACGTTTCATAGGTAGGTTTAAAAGATGCGTAAACGTAAATTATATGTCCTGTCTCTATAATAAGTTTCGCAATAGAGGAGCTGGGTCTCCTGTTCTCACCATTAATGGGTTCTGGGGATTAAATTTACTTCTAAAGACATTTAGGAATATGTTCTGAAGACAGCGTTTACTTGCAGAGACCGATGAGTCCTCCCAATGTATGTGTGTCCACACGTACATTCAAATTGGTAATTACAGTGGAAGGGATGTTACATCATTTTTCGCATGTTCAAAGGGCTCAGATGGATATATTGGCTTCACATTCTGAATTATTATGTTATTAGCTGTGTAAAAAGTCTTTTTAACGGCAGCCTTCAATCTTTGTCTAGCTGTCAAGCTGCTATATTCCCCCATATAGGGTAGTTTGATATACACGTGTTTCTTAGGGAAGAGTTTGAGAGTGGGTCTTGGTGTTCTGACTACTTTATATCTCCTGATGAACTTATCTGGATAATGGTTATTGACCAGAGTTTGTGTCAACTTTTTCTCTCCCTCATCAAGTATGTCTTCAGTACATATTAGTTGGATTCTACCGAAGAGGTACCTTACTAAGGCTCTTTTGTACGTAACAGGGCAGAAATTGTGGTAATTAATATACTGTCCTGTCCAGGTAGGTTTTCTATAAATAGATCGTTTTATTGACTCCTCAAGCCGTCAAATAAGCAACATGTCTAGGGACAGATAAACAGTTATTAATGTCAGTAAAAAGTCTGAGCATTGTGGAACATCGTTTTTGGACAAAACAATTCCAACAGTGGTGTGAACACGGACAGTAATTTTGCTCGAAGTATTACCAATAACAAAACTTATCATTGTGTGTAAACTATTGAAATATAATTACACTTTATTTGATAAACAGTTATCTTCCTTTTCTACAGATGTAAGTGATATGTTAATCTGAACTTCATTCATTCGATTTATCGAAAAAAGTCAAACTGTTTGTATGTTGAATTGCATAAGCGACGGTTGCATTATTCCGATGAAATAAGACATGTTTATCATAGTTTGATGAGTAGCACAAACTGCGTTTTATACACCATTGGTATTTGACTGACACTAAAAAATATGTTTTTGGCTTGTCAAACCTGCGTGTAGTTTATGACTTCTTTTCCAATATTTTTTCACAGGCAGGCACAATCATGGATACTGTTTATACATACTCACCGGTTCGATCCACTTGGAGTCAACGAAAGTGTATGTTACAGGCTAGAGCTAGGCATTCTTCTGTCGCTGTTGGTAGTCGGTATATTTTTGTATTTGGTGGTGTTACAATGTCTAGAAATTCTGATCACCAACAACTTTCAGCAGATGGTGTTATTATCAATCACTTTCAAGAAACAGATTCCTCTGCAAACAGACTGAATCACAATTCTTCTTCACAACTCTCATCATACAATCCAAATCTCCCGGTAACTGAATTGGACATTCCCACTTTAAAGTTTGAAAAGTCTATTATCCGATATGACATATGCAGTGATACTTGGATCACTGTTGGTGAAACAGAGAATCCGAGATTAGAATCTCATGTTGTATTAGTCAATGAATCAAATGATAATTCTGGTTCCTCTCTACAATCATCTGACTTCGTGTATGAAATGGATACTGATCAGCATAATTCTTCCCATTCAGATATATCAGGTATTAATATTTTAAACGTTGAAAAAATTCATTGATGCTTTCTCCAAATTTCACTTTATCCTTAAAATAATTACTTTCAGTGTCCACGGATGACATGAGTGTTTTTCATAGTTCGTTAGTTTCCCGATCATTAAACTGTAATGTCAATAAGATTTCGTTTAGCAAACAGGTAAGTGGGCATTAATAGTTTCATTTAAAAAGCGTTATTTTAAAGAGATAGGCATTTATTTAGAAGTCGCCCACACCTCTGAAATCTGATACGTATAATTCTCAGAGTATAGTTTTTCTTGATATTCCAATGAAGAATGATAATAGCTAATGTATTAACTAGATGCTTCTTGGGACAAAATCTATTGACATTGTGCGTTGGTTGAGGGATTTCAATAGAGAACTAGTGAAATTCACTGTATTTACAATTATTTTAAGCAATTTAGCAAGTTGTCAATTCTTCATACTTATCAAATTCCGTTTTCGGTGGGTTGAACTGATTTGGCTGTCTGGTCTCAATCTACTGGATGTACTGCTAATGAGCTCAGTCCCAAAAAAGTGAAGCAGCTGTTCGGTGTTTAGTTCACTTGGATGTCGTTAATGAGCACTACTGGTTGATGTGAGCAGTATCCAACAACTACTCATTTAAATCTTTAGCATTTACCAGGTGAATTTTCACCTGCAACCGTTTAACTTCCAAATAAAAGTTTGGTTCTGGGAAGTCAGTATTTCAACAACAGCTCAACTGAAATAAAAGTACTCGAGAGAGAACCCAGCTTGACTGTAACACCGTGGTTTGTGCACTAATTCGAACTGGTAAAGTCTCCTGCAAGAATCTCGAATAGTGGAGAGATGGATCAAATTACAAGGAGGAGAAATGAAATCACTGTAAACATTATGGGGGACCTAAAGTGGAGGTAAAAGAGGTAGAATACGAATAGCTTTTGTAAATTGAGGTTTCAGTGTAAGGTTTTTATATCTCGCCATCACTGTGCATGAATATCACAAATAAACAATTCTACTACTAAATACCACTTTGTTCTGCCGTGACGATTGATTTTGCTGCATTCGATGAGATGAAAACCTCTTGACCGGCAGCTTTCAAAATGAAGACATCCGGAGCTTCCTTTGAGATTTCTAAGCACTTGTTAAGCTGATGAGCGTCTAGAACCAGACAGCAAAAGCGGTGGTGTTGTGCGCGCTACCGAGAGGACAGGCAGGCAAAGGCTGCTTGCGATAGCGTGGAGCGTACAGGTGGGGAGAAGACCTATAAGTTACTAATGGGATAATTGGTGGTGGAGTTACAAAGCTCAACGAATTAACAGCTGATGATTCAGCATTACTGCGCCTAGTTGAAAATCCATTAGTGTTCATTCTGAGTTTAGCTAATCTAATTCGCCAATCAGTGCTCATGCTTGACGAAGATTCTGGGCCTCATGTATTGGCATCTACTTCCAGTTTGTGAGTCCCGAGTTTGTGTCTCACTTCACCTACTTCAACTTGGTCAACTGACTAGTACTATTAGTCCTCACACATATTTGGCTCATAGGCCAGTACCAAGTAACTGAGTTATGACTAACAAAGCGACCAACTGACTAATAATTGACGTCACGGCTCATTGATAGTCTTCCGTATTCCATTTTCAAATAACAGCATCTAGTTAAAGTGGCACAACCCATGGGAATTGGTGAGCCAGCGAAGCTAACTAGACAGATATTGAGTAAAGCGGTAGTCGCAATAGGGATACCGAAAATGAACCAGTGGCAATGAAATATTGGAGAGTTTAAGCATCAAATTACGGCGATACGAAAGAGCATCAGTAGAGATCAATGCTTTACTTACAGCAAAGCGAAAGAGGAGGGAAAAAAATCATTATAGACAGTATGATGTGTATTCTTTCTTTCTCATTCTACTAAAAGTTGTGAGGACAGTTGAGAGAAGTGCAATGTATTCTGTATTGCTGGGAAATGACCAAGAAGTTATACGCCTAATAGATTCGAGGGTGGCGTTTACACCTGGATTTAAGAATCATTATCGGAGCGTCATACTGTATGCATGGACAGTCCAAACAATAGGTGGCGCTAAAGATAGCGAATATCACTCGCGTGGAGGACTACAAGGTCAGCTCATTCACTTTTTACCTCCAGTTACAACGAGAATCCTTGGGGCTGATTTTCTTTGAGAATTGGATATGGTGATAAACATGATGATAAGGAACCGTGATTACAAGGTACTGATCGATCATGATTTAAGAGAATAACAAGGTAACTGGAGAAGTAGCATTAAAAGCACTGAATATAACTGTGTTACAAAGCACAAACGGCCTTTCACTTGAAATGTAGAACCTTACGGGTAATGTGATAAAGTAAGGCATGAAATCCCAATGGGAAGTTGGGAATTGATAACGTTTACAATACGTGGGATTCCATTTGAACTATAAGGAGAACTTGGACGACAATATCAGGAAATATTAAATGATGATATTGAAGAAGCTGACAGCTCGTATAGCTCTTCAGTGCTGTAAGCTCAATGGGAAGCACAACTCCTCTATTGATTTGACAGAGTCGATCAGCATGACAACATTGAAACCCTGTGTCATACCAACTGTAGTAGAAATCCTGGATTGCCTACATACTGCTACTCTGTTTACAGTTCTAAATCTCTGATCGGGAGGATAGAGTTAATAGAACGTTTTTAGTGAGGTAGAAACAATGTCATTTTAAACATCTGCTGTTTGAATTGACAAGCACAAGAAAAAATTGCTAGCAAACTTTTTATTTAAACCAAAAGATAAAACTGAGTTTCTCAAGATTGCATATGGATTATATGCATTAGCACAGGACCCATTGAAATGTGCCAACTGTCAGTCATATTCTACGCTGAGAACAGTGATGCAGGTAATTAATAACCGATTAGATGTGAATCGACCTGAGGCAAATGGGAAGCTAACCGTGTTACTCACGCAGAAGGATTGAATAAGATTGGACTCTTGGAGAACTTTTACTTAGTGTGAGAATGACGAAGTCTGGTAAGCGATTATACCGCAGTTCCTACTCCATAAGGGATATGAGAATGTCTCTAGCACATAAAAATGTAGCTGGATCAACCGCTTCTGGAGACAAGGAATATACTAGCTAAGTGTGAGAGATATTGCGTAGTATGTGTTTGACTGCCCGCATTATCTCATGACGAAAGGTGGTCATTGTATACGATTCCACCTACAGAAGTTGCTGATTTGTAGTCTGAGGGTGTAATGGGACATTTTTCACAAATATCTAGTGGTAGTCAGTAATTGCTGGTGGTGACGAGACACGCTGTACGAAAGGATGACACTGTCACGTCCCGAGATTAACGTACGAGGACTGACTGGGGCAGTAATCTGACATTTTGTTGCAGACAGGTTCCTTGTTTAAAATTTGAAGAGTCCACATCCAGCTTGCATCAGATAGGTATAAGAAGGAATAGAACAACACCATATCATCCACAAACTGCTATTTTGACAGAGAGAAATAGCCACAGAAGAAAGGGAGATGGGCCTAAAAAGGGGAAGAGGGATCATATCGTGCCTAATCCAGGAAACAACAAAGTCATGGTTTCAGTTGATACACAGTAGGGTACAATGACTAACAATGTACAACAAAGTCTGGACTCATCAGCAACAATGGAATGTGAACAGATGGCAAACCGCGGAGAAATAAACATTAAGAAGTGCAAAGCACAAACAGTAGGTTGACGCTGCTATCACTGTGCAAAGGAAGGAGAAGAAATGCTTTGTATTCGAAGTTGGAGACCTGTTGAATCAAAAATATCTCAGAAACTTGTGAAAATGGTGCCAATAGAACAGAACACTCTGTGTATTCAGATACAAAACCTTTGACTGAAACGAGGGGATATCTGCAAATGCATGGTTATCATGACCGACCATTGTAAACATTTTATTCCCACCGTTCAAATGATAGTCTGAGAAAATCGCGTTGCTCCCACGTCATCGTACTACATCTTTTCTGACCTGAAAGATGACCTACCGAAGTTATTGGTAAAATACACATCACGGCGGTCATTATCTAGTCTGGTTTCGTTCTCGCAACAACCTCTACTCTAAGAAAATTCCCGTCCATGCAAAATTCGGCGTGCATTGAGCTAAACACTCGCATTTGGTATGAGTATCAAGCCTGATTGGTAAATATTTTGTGCTAGAAGTTTTCTTAAAACTAACATTCTCTGGAATGGACATACGCTATTAGTTATTAGTGCATCATTTAGAGACCTGAAGAAACTAGAGTAAGTTTGAATGTATGTTCCAAAAATGAGTTCTAGCAACGCATTTAGTTTTATACTGTGTATGGTACACAGTAATTATGGGAAACTATGATAGGGTTCTTTCTTAGAGTTAAGTTCATTTCTCTACTATGGAGAGAACAATGATACAACAGATACAATGCAATGAGCACAACATAATACTCGGAAAAATAATGTCACCTAAGCAAATCCTTCATAATTTCATCTTTATGAACGAAGATATAAAGAAGAAATAGGTGTAAGTATACGATACAGACTCACTATATTCCAGAATTGATCATGAGCCAGTAATAGGTAGGAACTACATAGGATCATTTGAAAAAGTGGTTGAAAAAAAATCCGGTTAGCGAAATGATTTTGGGAAATGATGGAACTCGAATTATATCTCTGGAGAGATGATTGGAGCGTTGAAAGAGCATTACACGAAAGCTGTTCTACTGTAGTACAGCTGTGCCACAGTTTCCCATTTGTCAACATCTACCTGAATGGGAAGTAAATAACGTTTCTCCAATTGTAGTTGAGGCTCCAAAAGCTATTATGTAATCTAAAATGGCGAAACGGAAAGACATAGTGGTATGACTTTAGATGTATTAAAAGTTGGTGGTGATGAATTATTGACTTCATTTATTAAGGTATCAAGTGATTTATGGGAATCTGAGATTGTCTTACTGGACTGGTGCTGTTTCCAGGTGGGAGGCAAGTCTTCTAGTGATAAATTCGATAGACAATATCTTCACCCATAGACAGGTTTTCTTAGCATAGTGATGCTTACTGACGCGCATCTTCGTCACTCCGGGTATTGTGACAATGTTGTGCAGTGAAACAAATGTTCAGAAATTATATTGTTCTAATGAAGACACTCTATTCAAACTCATTCGGCTGCTTAAGGGGTTGTGGAGTGTTGTCGTCTGAAGTTAAGACATTAAAAAGCTTACAGTCTTTGACTATATATGCCTATGTTCACTTCCTTGTGTTAGTTAGTAAAATGTGATTAATAAACACGGGATCGGGTAATGGTATTGAATAAGGACGGTGAGTTAATCGATGAGATTGTGGGGCTTCATCGATCAGGGAAAATAGGGCATGACTATGAAGATTCATAGGCTCTCTTGACAAACACTGTTAGCTGACATGGGTTAGCGCTGTAAAATTATTAGAGGTGGTCATACTTTAAAATACCACTATCTCATGAGGGCTTTCACTATTCGTTCTAGCCACTTAGGCCGGTGTACACTGCCTGGCTGGGATAATCGGGGGATGTTAAGCATCAGTGTTTTAAGTGTCAGTGATATGACTCAAAATTTTTTAGTGTAGCGATCATCACTTCACTGTTCCCCTTGCCAACTTTGTTCATCGTATTTCCACTGCATTTCCTTCATCTACTTTTATATGTGCTCTTCTCTAATGTAGCAATCTGAATTGAAGTACTTTTTGCAGAGTTAAACGTTGTTAAGTCATGTTTGAAGTTACTCGTGATTAGAGACGGTCATTATTGTCAGGTTGTTGAAATGAGAAGTCAAACGCTATCCGACTCACTCAAACCAACTATTTGAATATTAATATCATATGCTAATATAGGTAACTGCGTCTGATCGTTTCAATTTTCGCAGCGAATTCGACAGCTTTTGATGAGAAGCATACTTCGTTCCCTCGGAACGATAATCAGTTAACGGGTAATTAGGTGCTGAAAGTGATGTCGGTCATTCAACAGGATACCTGCGCATGTGAGATAGAACTGCTTCTGCGAAAAATCGTTGTATTATGCACACTTTTCTAAATAATCGAAACCCTTCACAGTTTACCTGCGTGATATTGTAACAACAGAAGACAAGGGCCAGGCAACAGATCGTTTATTAAGGAAAATCAACACATATTTATAGATTTTCATGTACATTATTGCAGATTATTGTCAGTAGAAAATACCGTCTTTTGATTGGTTGTTTCTCACAGAAAGTTAACCTTGCATCTCTTTGTGGCTGTGTCAGATCATCCTTATGCTAACTGTATCCGCCTACGCAAAGCCTTTGTTCTCATTTTCTGACCACCAATATTGGGGATATAAACATTGACGTCAATTACTGTCTACCGACTTTGGCTAGCAGCCAGCTCTCACCACAATATCAATAAAGTTTGCAATATGAAACAAAAAGTCAAGATCTTAGAAATATCCCAAACTGGAATATCTGACTCACTTACTGGATTTTTGACGTAGAACTTTGCGCCAGAGTTCAGCAGTTCAAGTTGCAGAACTTCATAAAATCAAAGGAAATGTAGGATGAAGTGCTTAATTGCAATCCTTAATTCAAAGCTTGACTAGTTTTCTCTCATAGTGAACTACTGTTATCAGTCACTTGTTATAAAAGTCAGTTAAGTCTGACGAGTTTCAGCCATTGCACGCAAACTGTACACGGTACTGTGATTGTTCCAGTTACTTTCTTTCACGTTTATGTGTCATCTGTAAACTATAAAGCAACGAGTCTTTCCTGTGGTAACATGTCGACTCTTCACATCAAAACCGACTATGATTGTCTCAAATAATACATCTTTTTTGATAAAATATTGATATTTCATTCTTTTCGGAGATTATTTTCACAATTTCGTTTCCCGAATCACCTCGAACAATTAATAGGTACTACCTGTTTCTTTTGCTTTCGTTGCTCACCACCCTTCTCGTTTGTTTCAAACACATCTACTCAGATCTTCGTCTTTTCGAAACCTTCTGTACCCAGTCCTATTGAGTCTACCAATCCTGAAAAAACGGTTGAAATCTATCGACCTTTACAAACCTTGGGTGTCAGGTCGTCAACCGCCTTCGCTACTTGGTCAGGGGTAAGAACCCGGGACTCGTTTGTTGAGAGTGAAGTATTTAAACCAACTAACCGCATCTCCGTGATTTCAACAAGTGTGCCTATCCTTCCATATTATTACACATCCATTAAACTGGGCAGCAATAAAGATGATCGTCCACTAGGATCCAGGAGAGCAATGCATTTTTCACTCCAGAGTCTAATGCTATCCGTAAATAAGCAGGTGGGCAAAAGAACTGACGTAGGTGGGGTGGATTGTTCCTAATTCACTATGTTGAACAGGTGGATTTAAGTAAATAACTGCACTTATTCTTCCTGAAGTATATGAGAGAGAGAGAAAGAGAGGGAGAAAAAGAGAGAAAAATAGCTATCAGATGACTCCTGAGACCTTCACAAAACTTCAGGCTATTCACACACAACCTATTTGATGTTGGAACCTTTGGAGCTTCTTCTGTAATGAAGACTTTCCTAAAAATAGATGTAGGTACAATCTGTAATATATTCTGCTCAGAGCGAGAAGGCCGTATTGCCGGTCGTCCGAGTGAAACCGCTTATTGCTGTTACACTTCAGCCCGATGGCAGTACAACTTTGCTTTCAGGTCCCTACCATAGACTAAGTAACTTAACTCTCGATAGTATATTCCTTCAGTTTAACCGTTGTCCAACCGATGTTTTTGGCATGTCCGAATTTTTGGAAACATTTATACTAGCTAGCATAATTCGATATATCATTAGTTAGTCTGTTAGTTGAGCATCCGTTTTGAAAACGATGGTTGCAACCGTTTGTCTCTAAATGAACATGAGTTTCCTCAAGATTGAAAATATGTCTAGATGATCATTTGTAAGCAAGTAAAAATAAAATCAATTCTAATATGTTGGACAGTTCAACGCTTAAATCGTAATTTATTATTATGGTTTAATCGAAAACCATATTTCTTAATATTTGATTTATGAAAGCATTAAGTCACACTACCACAAGTGAAAATGGTTGTAGGCTTGCTAACTAGAGGACTAGACTGGTAAGAACTGGTCAATGAACAAGCGTTGACACATTTTCATTGAATTTATGTCGGACGAAATCAATTGTGACTAGGTTTACTTTTTGATGGACGAAATTGTTAATTTGCACAAAAATGTGTTTAATATATGTTTAGAAGTCAGTATTTGTGCAATCGATTCTAAGGTGAAGGTTACTTATAAAATGAATTGAAGTTTTATATAACAGCTTCTGGTTTAACCAATGTCATACAAACAGACAATTTATTTGTTTTCAGACGTCCACTTGGGATTAATCACAGTTAGAATGAAATGTAGAATACTGAAACAGGAATAGAAACTATCTATACTTGCAAATTATCTTTTACTTCAGTTGAATCTTTAAATCTTTCAGCGACTAAATTATTCTTAACGAGGATCCAGTGAAGTGATGTTCTAGAGCATGTTGTCTTTAGAATATTTGTTCTGGTGTACTAACAGAGGTAGGAAGAGGGAGCTATGAAAAAGTCCTCGGAAAGTTAACTCGATTTTGTGGATATTAAGGCTGGATTGGTACATAAAGTAGGCAGGCAATTAGGTAGACATATTATTTTTTGGTCCTAAAGGACTTTGGCGATATACTGAGTCAGTTGAAGAACCTTACCTTCCTGTTATTTTATAGAAGTATCAGATAAAGATAACTTTAAATTAGTGCACTCTGGCGATATCTGCTACGCTAATGTGATAGTCAAGCTTACATTGTCAATAAGCCAGTTGGCTATATTGGTTGGGTTGGTAGTTCATGATGTGGTGGAAAGGGATTGGTGACAGTGAGCTGTATGCGTAGGATGAGCAAAAATCCAGTAATATTACCAATAGTACTGTATCTTATATAGTTAATTCCCCTTCTGTTAACTCTTGAATCATTAAACTAAAGAGGTATCATTCCTAGTTTTTATAAATCAGACTACGAACTTCACGTTAAAGTTTTTCATTCAGAAGTTGTAATTGGGAAGATCCCTGATGGTCATCACATCGCTGTATCTATGCTAAAAGGCATAAAACATTCACGTGTGGTTACTGATTGAGCGCATTATTTCAGTTAAAGGAAAATAATATATTTATTAAGATATTTTTTGACGCGAGAAAATGAGAAAATATAAAGTGCTTTGTTGAACTATAGTGAACTGACATAAGTGTGAGTGCTGTTCCAATACAAACATAATACTCTCGTCTAAAGACAATAGTTGTTTATGTAAAAATTATATTTGTGTAATTCTTAGCGAAATAGGAATAAATAATTCCAACGTTTTAATTTTTTTTATTTCAATTTCGCTGAGATTTATCCAAATACAATTTTCACATATGTCTACTTCTCATTTGCACCGAATGTGGTGGAAATATTCGATCGAATTTTGATCACAGTTCGTATAAATTAGTTGCTTATTTCACGAAATAATATTATGTTATAATCGTGAATACTACTGGGAACATATTGCAGTCGTCTTTTGCCCTATACCTGCAGGTTTAATAATACTAATAAAAACTGTTGATACTTTCATTATTTCAGAAACACCGATTTCAGAAAATAACACCAACAATACTAATCAGATTAATAAAACACACAGAAGAAATAACTCCACAAATGTCAATATGGAACGTGTTTTCGTTGAAATTGGTGGAATTACTGAGTTACAGCCACATGGAACTGATCAAGTTGCTTTCTATCGTTTACGTCCAGACTATACTGTTTTCTGTACCGCTGATTACATTAAACTACCACAACAAGTTCGTTATGTCAACTGTAGTGTACATCATGTGAGTTTTCTGACAGCCCACTATAAAGTTTAGTCTTGTTTAAATGTCTAGTTTCCAACCAGTGGGTTACAATTTCGATTTAGGTAGTTGAGGCATTGTTTCACACTATCATAGTAGATATTATTCGAAACTGAGCAATGTGAACATTCAGTTGGCCAGTGAACTGCAAGAATTTAATTTATTCCTGAACCATACACTTTAGCTCGTCAAAATTTTTTCACGAATCACCTTCTGGGTTATTTTATGGATTAAATTTTAATATAACATTTTCATATATTTCGTATTTTTGGAATATATCCGCGCACATTTAAGTTCACTTGTCGGTCTATTGATTTATTAGTTTATTCTCCAACCTAGTCTTACTGTTGGCAAACGTTTCAGTGGCATCCTGGATGTCAACATCATTGCCTTACGAGGAAATGGAGTAAATCAACAATATCTAAGTATTTTTAACATGCTACATTTTCCTCATTTCCATCTGGTCCGTTATTCAGCGAGTATTTGCACTTATGTAGAATGCAACTGTTTCAGTAAACATCTACCCTGAGACTTTTGTTTTCTTATTAACTGATTATATCGCCCTCATGAAGTTTGCTGACCAGTGAATAGCTACATTTTACATTTACATGCATAAATGCGGTCAAGTAATTATCAAGTGAGAAAATGGAATCACTTTTGTGTTACTTTAGATAATTTCTGAAGGAGTTTCTCGAACACGTCAGCTACACTTAATTGTCGAATGCTGTGTAGCATTGAATCAGAGCACAGCTTGCATTACAAATGATATGCAAGACAGTGTAGTAACTGACAAAATAGTGCTCTAGTTTAAGTTAAACTACTGCCCAACATAATAAAGAGAGGAAGTCAGTAAAACAAGGTGGCTCAAAGGAAGGTAAGTCAGATAGACTGAAAAAGCAAAAGAGTTGACTTTTCAAAATTTAGGAAAAGATGAAGATATCTTGCATTTCAATGATTTTGAGTTGCTCCATTTCTAAGATTTTTTCTTTTTTCATCGTTTTCCTTGTATTCTTAATCCTCATCTACCCGTTCACTCGATCTCATCTTTTTGAATGATAATTACATCCTAATTTTCAATCAGTACTAATTAAATTTCTTCTTAATTTCTTGAAACATACAATGACATTGCTTTTATCTTTAGGATACTAACCTACTTTATATATTTTGGGAGTCAACAAGTGAACTATCAGTCCTAGATCTTCGTCGTCATACACTTCGCCCGTTGGCGCGCTTACTGTCTTCTTCAACTTCGTCTTCAAATGAAGCACGAGTTCATGCTGGACTAACATGGATTGGAGAATTTTTATATGTTGTTGGAGGATTTAGCCAGTTTGTTGGTGATCACCGACGTCCCACTGCTCCAAGAGATGATATTCATTGTTACGATCCAGCTCTGAACACTTGGTATGTGTTTTCCTTTACCCAAAAAAAAAATTATGCCATTATACAGAAGAAATCGTATTTGACTGTTTATTTGTTTTTGTTTTTTTCTTTCCTTACAACAGGTCGCGTATAAAAGTATCGAATACAACAGTCCCTCGAGCTATCTTTGGGTGTGTATGCCTCAATATGTGATAGTTACATCACTGTCGGTTGCCTGGACTTTTATCTGTTCATAATTTTATTGGTATCTGGATTACTGCTGTTTCATGTTATTGTATTTATTACTGATATTACTTCATTCAGAATCACATAATACTCTTTACTGATATTGTGATGTGATATTTCTTACAACTGTTCAACTAAATGTGAACGAAAAAGTGCAGCATTGCGCACCTTTTTTTGTAATGTCTTTTTGTTTTATCTTTGTGCCCTTAAAGTCACACTATTCTGATATTTTACTTATAAGAAACTGTTTCTTCGTGCAGATTATTTATTCCCGCTGGTTCGGGTTTTTATATTTTTATTTTACAAATGTCATTAGGAGCATTGTAATCATCAGTGTTAAAACGAAGTTGCATTTACATAATGAAATGTATTCACATTATTGTTCTTTCTACTTCAAGCAGTCGTTTTTCTTCATTTTATACCTGTTTATGTGGGACATTAAGAGATTATCTTTTATGACGTAGTTCATTAAAAAATATCACAAGTTAGCAATCATCAGCGATTGTTATTGTATGTAAAGATGTGACTCACGGTAAAACATTCATTATAAACCTTTTTCTTGTAGACATCCCACACTGCCAAAAATATAAATGGAATGTAGACTGGACTCACTAAGTGTTTCTCACATTCCACTCATCTCAAACCTACAGAAGTTAATGTATAGAAGTTTTGATTCTCTCTACTCTGAACTTCTTTCGATGACGAATTTTACTGATAAGCATAAGTAAGTGAATAATACGGTATCTAATAAAATTATTACATTGCGAATTCATTACAGTTCAGTGGCTAAATTGCTGACTATTCTGAGTTGTATTCGATAGTCGTTCTTACGTCTTAATACTTAAACTCTTGGCCGTTGTCTGAAGACTTGGTGTGATTAAAATAGTTACTTAGATTTTGAGGTCTGTAAATACTCACATTCCTACATTCAAGTTTGGCGCCTATTGTGTGATTGACGAAAAATACCCACCCAGAAATAAAAATAAGGAAAAAGAGCTGAAAAAAGAGTCTCTTTTCGATGAATTCATTCACTTAGCTGTCCAGTAGCAATTATATGAAATTATTCTGTGTATCCGTGTATATATGAGGTTAGCTGGATCAAGATAGATATAAGTTAAGGATATTCAAAATGTGTAAGGAATAATCAAATTGTAACTAGGAGATGAACATTATTGGGGAACGACAAGGATTACCTAATATCAGAAAAGTTCAGAGAATAAGGATAGCGTGGAACAAAGCTCCGTGGATAAATCACATAAGCCTCACAAACAGAAAAAATGGGTTAGATAATAAAATTCTCTTTGTTGTTCATTCAACATATCAAAAGTCGAAATCGCACAGCATAAATTCAGATTAGAAACAAACTGACCAACGAAAACAAATTAATTACGATTACGCTACCACCCAGAAAAAGACAGAAGAAAATCAACCGAAAAAAATTCGACATAAAAACCCAAACACAGCGAAGAGCGAGATATGGTCCACTGAATTCAGCAACGATGAGTGGGAACGGCTGAGAAAATTCACCGTATCAGTTTATTAGGACATGAGGCAAATAACATGTTACCAGGGATTCTGGGACATAGGCGTACTTACCGGCGTCCAACAATTGTCATATTTCTTGACCTGAAAGCGGCATTCGATTCCGTCGACCGAGAGGTACTATGGCAATGTTTGGTCGTGGAGGGCATGCCGAGGAAATACACCGCACTAATCAAGGCACTCCACTCGAACCCATGCAGCCAGGTAAGGACCTACGGAGAGTTGTCATCTGAAGTGATAACAACCAGTGGTGGCCATCAGGGATGTCCACTGTCCTCATTTCTGTTTCATTTCATCATAGATGTACTAGTCGACTTAACTCTAACTGACTTCAGCCACTCACCGATTGACTTGTTACCAGGGAATAATCTCGTTGACTTAGCATATGCGGATGATGTAGTCCTTCTAGGTGAAGACGCTGACAAAATGCAGAGTCTTCTGAACATCTTGAGCGGCAATCGAGGAACGTTTGACATGCGATTCGCTCGTGCTGTCAAGTGTAAGGTGATGCTACATGACTGCACTGGACTGGACTGGACTACATCGACTCCTAGCTTGAAAATAGGGAGTGAAGTGGTGGCTGAGCGTGTTGACCAATTCACTTATTTCGGAAGTTGCATCAGCCAGTGCCAGCGGGTTGATCGCTGTCGCAATATCGGCACGGATACAGTTAGCACAGTTCATGCGCTCACCCACGATATGATAGGATAAAGGATATGTTTTAAAATCTAAAATATATATATAGGGTGGAACTTGCAACGAAGATTATGGATGGCATCCATTTGAAATGTTGACCTGTGTGACTATCATCATCAGAGTAAAGTCATCAAAAAGTCAATCATTCATCAGGTTTAGTGGATTCTAAAACTGGCACCTATACAAATTCTACTGAAGAATTTTGGGCACATCAAAAAAAGCGGATTAGAATGGCATATGACTATAATCACCTCCATTAAAAATTGGGACCAGTTCTTGCGGCATTCATCTTTTATCATGTACATACATATATCCTGTGAATATACTTTTTATGCTAAAGCGTCGCATTTCATCTAGGAGAATATGATTGGTTATTTCAAGGTTATTTGACTGTGGTAACTATTCTTTACTGTAGCCGGAAATTTTCGTCGTTTTCTTTCTTTATGAATAAACTTTTAACATGTAAGTGACTTTGTATTTGTATCCGGTTAACTGAATACTCTTCCGGAGTTAATTCATGGTCAAAATTCATCTTATTTTATAGGTTACTAGCTGGTAGACAGTTAACACATTTACATTGATAAGGAATAAAATCACTCATCTGGTCAGTTTAACTCCGCAATTTTTTGATTTTCCTACTGTCTGGAATAAAGTCTATATATATATATATATACATATATAAATATATTCCACCTCATTTTGAAGATTATAATCGATTGCTAATAGTTTTGAACACTTTTCATATTCAAGATACAGAAGATAGAATATGTTCGAAATCCGTGAGACTCGCCAAGATAAGGTGGGAGGTTTATTGAGAAGCGATCTGTTTATGCAGAGCACGCATATTTTAGAAATATGAGAGGAAAAAAAGGAATGCACTACCTTAGCATTTTCACTAAGAGCACCCTATATATGCTTCTAATTTGGTGAGAAATCTTCTAGCAGATAGTTGTAAAGATAGTGCACTTCTCATGTAGACGCTTAATTTCCACTGTTTTTTCACACTTACACAATTAAGAACACGCAAGTCAGCAAAGAGATCTCTTTTCTTAACTTAACTTTACGTCTGTACAGTTATTTAGCAGGTTTATATATACATTGTTAGTCGTTAAACGAGGTCAGATTTTATCGTCAGTTAGTAGCAAAATAAACCATAGTGCATGAGTAATAACAGTGTTAAAAAAACACTGAGAATAGTCTTACGTAATCCAGAAGGTTGATAACTAGCCATTTGGGAATATTTAATAAGATCCAAGAGAACAAAGGATAGAAAATGGATTACCATTTCATCGTGGAATTTTTCATAACTTTCACAGTTGTCGAAAGATTAATTGATATCACTTTTCACTAATCGCATTCACATTTGTTGTCATATGCACTTAAGCGATGTGGGTATATGAAGCCTTTTTGATATCACAGAGCTTAATTGTCAGTTTAATTGGTGGATTGTTACTAGCAGTGGAATCCTATTTGGGACTCGTCAGCTGGATGTGTCTGCATTCCCCAGTGAGTGATGATGTTCCCACCGAGGCTCGAACCCAGTGCCCATAGTTTCATGCGCCAAAGCGTTATCCACCAGACCACTTGGGCCACGACAGCCACCTCTTGTGCAACAGGTCATATTAATTATTTAATTGTCAACTTGAGACCGAGCACTTCGGTCCAATCAATCGACGGGAAAATCTAAAATTAAGTTTTAAAATCTAACATAGTCAGTAGAAAACCGATCACGGAGTCTTCATTTAGTCTACACCAAATACACACAACTGTGATAACTGGAAACCATAAAAGGTATTTAGAAAATTCTGTTGCCAATAAACCTGTCTTCATCAATGGAAATAATGTTCATAGCCTTATAAATGCTCTATGAAACCCAATCTCCGAGAAAAATGGCACCCTAATCATCTCTCAGGATAGACGACTGGAACACCTTGAGGAACAATTTAACTGGCCTACAGCCACTCTCAACTTGACCAGCATCCAACACCTCCCTGAATGGTATATAAACACCCGTCCTCCGTCCCCAACTCAGGTTACAAAAGCTGTCTGTAATCTGAAACGAGGCGAGGCAGTGGGACCTGATCGAATGACTCCAGCAGCGATGTTTAAGGACGGTGGAGACAATTCACCGTCTCGGTTAACTAGGGAATTAAGTAAAGTTTGAATTGTTGGACACTACCCATATAAACTATTTTACCTTAGAAACTTTGATTAAAATGTTCCAAACATCAGAAATGCGTTCTTCTTGCGTGGTTTGATGTATTTCAGCTGTCATATTTTAGTCAAAGAGGCTATACTTCTTGTGAAATCGGTGTCCAACCTGTATGGCTAGCGTCAGATGTTTAGATCACTTTGTTATGGATAGGAGACACCACTGGTTAGTGTGATTCGTGTCTGATCCTTAAAAAATACGAGCCCTGATTAGAATCACGTCTCTCTGTATTTTAAGC